CTGGCCACTCTTCTCTTGATGCAGCCCATCAAGAGAATTAACCTTGGGACAGCACTCGCACAGGAAACATGCCAAAAAATTAAAAAAAAAAAGCAGAGAAAGGAGCCGAGGCAAGGCTGGGCTCCTTCCAGCTAAAAATAGCTTCTCTTGATGCAGCCCATCAAGAGAATTAACCTTGGGACAGCACTCGCACAGGAAACATGCCAAAAAATTAAAAAAAAAAAGCAGAGAAAGGAGCCGAGGCAAGGCTGGGCTCATTCCAGCTAAAAATAGTCCTGCCCCAACTTGTTCTAGGAAATATAAGGGGATTATTTGAAAATTACTCTGGGGTTGTTACACGCCACTGTTTCTGACACGCTCTTACCAAGGCCACACATTTATTGCTAATGCTCCTCTGCCAAAGCGATGTCCAACTAAATCCCTGCCTGCCCCACACCGGGCCAGCACCGGGTGCTCGACCCAGGAGATGGGGCTGGCAGCGAGCACGTGCTTCCCCCCAAAGTTTCCTGACCTTTCCCCAGACCAGCGTGGCTCAGCGAGGCTGGGGGTGCCCGTGAGCTGAGCAGGCCACGCTGGAGCCATGACTCCCCCCAAACACAAGGCTTGGCTTTCGTGAAGTCAGCTGGCTTTGCTAACAGCTCACAGGGCTGCGGCTCAGCCGGCACAGGAACGTTTCACAGCTATTGCACAAATCTCCGCAGTAAACAGTCTGCCAAGGAAAAGAATGACAAGAGCAACTGCCGATACTTGCAGGCAGGAGGCAACGTGAAAGAAAAACAGGCTGGGCTGGATGGAGACCTTCGTATACTGTGGTATATGAAAAGGAGCTGCGTTTGCATTCAAGAAGCGGGAATGTTCCTCGCAGGAGTATTACCTGGTGCAAACGTGGTCTCCTCGGTCCTGGTAGCAGCCTTGCAGGCAGGGCAGGTTGGAACTCTGTCCAGGCACCGCGCTGTCTGAAGGTCCAAGGAAAACTGGATAAAGAGTTAATGCTACTGCAATCAGAGTAAAAGTCTTTGAGCTCTCAGCGTGGGGTATTACGTTGTGCCTGGGGAAATCGCGCTGCGATGCATGCCCTGCAGGCAGCGTGCCCGCCCAGGGATGGCTGCAGCGGCAGGGACGTGGTTGTTTACCTGCCTTTTCCAGAGTGGCCGTGCTCCAGAGCCTGTGAAATACTCACCCGTCAGCCCGAGGGTTTTCATGCCACAGCAGTGCTTCTTGTGCTTGGTGTCACACGCAGGAGGCCAACGTCCCAGCTCCCAGTTCATCCCAGTGGCCAGCAGGTTGGTACCGTGCCACGCCTCCACAGAAAAGCTGGTCTGAAGGCTCCTTGGTATTCGCAGAAATGAGACAGCAGCAGCGTGGCTGCATCCTGGGAGACGGTCCCTTCTGGTCCTTGTCAGCGACATCTTTTAGCCAATTATGGACAGGAAACAAGGCTGAGGGCGTTTTAAGTGTTACAAAACACCAGCTGAGTCTCCCTGGAGTGGTGGGGCGAGACACGTGGATTTCGGGGAAGTGTGGGCTCTCGAGTGAGATGTTAGAACACCCCAGACAGCGCGCAGTGAGACGCAGAGTCTGCAGCGTGCTCCCCACGCCTAGGAGCTGACAGTATTTTCTATTTTTGTTCAGTCACTAAGAAACAATAAAGAAGGGAACTATTTATGGCAAAGTAATTGAACTCCAGAGGAATTGGGAGGTAAGCAGCGCTGGGGGGGCTCTAATCCCCAGGGCTATACTTACGGCAGCAGGAGACGTTTTATTGAGCCAGCTCTGCGCTCTGCTCCATTCCTCCCAGCCCCTTGCTCTCACTCCCCGCTCGGAGTCAATTATAGCAGGGCACCGCGGTGAGACGGGCTCCAGCCCGGCGCTGGACCTGGGGAGTGTGCCTTTGTGCTGTTCCTTGCCCTGCTCCCAGAAGCATCCAGCAGAGCCTGGGGAAGGAGGACTTTGGTTTAGAAGATAAGCTGTGCAGTATTTGGTTTCAAGAGTCCACCAAATAACACAGCTGATCAATAAATGTTTCTTTAGCTTGCACACCACACTCACAGAACTTGAAGTTCTTAAGCTAGGCTAACAATCCTCAATTTCTGCTTAAAGGTCTACCTAGTCTTGAGTTCCAAGTGTTTTCTAAAAGTCACACAATCCGGCCGGTGGCCCAAGAACATGGGCGGATACAGAAGCCCAAACAGCACTCAATCATAAAAGCGGGTACGGAAGATTAACAAAAGGGAGAGGTTTTAAGGAACCTACACGAATAAATGCAGCTCAGTTCATTTATGGCATCACTTGTTTTGAAAGCTGTGGCTGATCTCACATTTGCAAGAACAAGATACTGTGCAGTACAGAGCCACGGTCTGTGGGCTGCATTGTAGACATAGCTGGGGCCATGGAAAATGTGAAAGTGACACAAAGAAACAATGAAAATGATTGGCACAGAGACTGCAACAAGACTCAACAGCACCACTGGCATTTAGCTTGCTTTCAGCCAAAGAAGGGAGGGGGGAGCCTGCCAGATACAAAAGCTTATTGAAAAGGTGTTTGTCCGAAGAACCAGTGCCGAGACTTAGTTAGACTGGGCTCCAGCCGACTTAAAGACCTCAAGGGAGAGGTTACTGAGCTATACTTCACTGATCTACAGAAAGGAGGAGCTACGTGGGCACTTAAGTAAAAAAGTCACAGCTTAGGTTGGACAGGGAAGTTCAGGATGAAAGGAGATTTGTTTAAAGACTTAAAGGCATCCTGGACAGTCAAAAAAGAGTGGCAAGCAGAGATCAGAGCAGACAAAAAAGTCAAAGGATCAAAATTAAAAAAAACCCCAAAACACCACACAAAAAACAGGAGAGGAAGCACGAGTCAGGAAGCAGGCAGGTCACAAGTCAGGTGACCAGCCGGCCCATCTGAATTTCACAGCCTCAACAAGCTTTGAAAGCAGCAATATGCAGCTTTACTTGCTCTAGACGAGAAAACAAGCTTCCCTTTTCAGTGCAGAGGGGCTGTACGCTGCACGGTGTTGTGACACCAGTGGATCACAACAACAGTTACTGCCTCTGAACCCAGAGGTGACAACGGTAATACCTTGACACTGCTGTATGAGAAAGCAGCAAGAAGTACGCAGAACCTCGCGAGTCCCAGGAACAGCTTACACCTCTCAACTGAAAAATGCTTCTCAGAATAATTCTTAGTACCTTAGTTGCAAGTTAAATGAACTAGATTGCATTCTCTGTATCAGAGGAAGGACTCAGAGTTCAATGTCTTGCTTATAAAAAGCAGCAAATGTCAGAATCAAAACGCAGTTTAGATTCCGCAGTCGACATTATACACTATGGAAAGAGTGGAACAAGTATGGAACATGGTGCTCTTGAGTAGATGCTGGAGTGCGGAACTAGAAAAGCAGCACATCAAATATCTCCTTTCAAATTCTATCTTTCAAAAGGCTAAAAAAAAGTATTTGGTAGAAACAAGCACCTGCTGTTCAGCGCGGGGAGCCGAAGACAGAGAACAGCTTCAGGATCTTTGTGGAATGAGCTTATGCAGAAAGACAGGCCATGAACATTGGTCTCCTCCTCCCGAAAACAGCAAACAAGAATAGCCCTTTTCTTCTCCTCTTGTTTGTGCAGCTGTAGGCTTGCTGGCAAGAGTGGAAGGAGAATGAGCTTGAATCCTGAGAAAAAAAAGAAAACCCAACAAAACCCAGTGAGTTCCTGGGAAAAGCAGCCTATCTCCTAGACTTGTGCATTAAGGCTTCTGCTTTGTTCCTGGATTCGTGTTCAGACATATCATTAGCATTCCCTGCTCACCCCTTCCTCATCCTCTTTATGTGCCAGTCACAAGCGTAGGGGTTTTTTAAATAATAAATTGGGAAACATTTGATAGGACAATTAAGAGGTACAACAGCCACATACCAGCTGCCCCAGCACACCTCAGCTGGGGAGAGGATATTAGCTACAAGGTGGACAAAGCCTGTTTTTTGTAAAGGTTGCATAGAAATTGTAACTTACTGCCAGTTTTTGTCAGTTCGCTCTGTATATGCTGTTTTGGCAGCCCAGACAGCTCCTCTTTGCTGGAGGCAGCAAATAAGCACCTTGTTGAAGAACATACAGCTGTTACCCAGGAACCTACTCAACATGTTTGTTTTCAAATCCAAGTTTAAAAAAAAAAAAGAATTTAAAAAAGGTAAATTGCTTTCCTAAAGCAAGAGAAAACAAAGCTGGGGACACTTTGTACCAGAGCTCTCCAGAGATAACGAACTCGAGTAAGCTGCCCCATCCTGCCCTGGTGGCATGTCCAGCTGCTGAGGGGGAACGGTCAGCAACGGCTTTAACTGGCCAAGTACAGCCCGGTTTTTTGACATTAAGACTGTTGGCTTTTGGTTACAGAGACACAGAAACTCGGTTTTACCATAGAAACACTTCTAGTGTCAGTATTTATTTTTACCTTATTATACATTTATACAGGCCATAATAAAAAGGCTATTACACAACAGTTCAGTGAGTTATTACCTAGTTTCAAGAATAATGCATGCAATTACAAAGGAGAGGTAGAAACACCGTATTAAAGACCTAAAAATACAAACATTATATAAACAAACACTTTCAAATTAACTGTTGGAATTTCATACAGATAAATAAGGTAAAAAGTACATTACTCTGTCAAAGTAAAGGAAACACATGGTTATCCGAACACTGAAACAGTATTTTGATGTGTAAGCCCTGTACAACTTTGTCAAATAGTTCAGACCACTGTGTTTAAGAGGATTAAAATGATTTTGTCCTGGAGAATGGTTTATTCAAGTATTCAAGCAGTTGAGTAACAAAAAAAGTCCCCAAAATAAAGTACAGGAACCATTTCCAGAGAAGCTGATCTGCCTAAGTACTTTGCAAATCACTGTCCTGATGATCTCATGGGATGCTTGAAATGATAATGCCTATAAGGCTAAATGAAGCTTCCCACCTCTCCCCCAAAATGCACACAAAATAATCCTGATTTTTCACACACAGTATGTAGATATTCTACATCAAATTATCAGCATCTCAAACCCCAACATTATTTTCCGGTTTTGCGTGGTTCCTTGCAGAACCTTTCAGTTTACAGTATTTATTGTAATACTGCCCAAGAAACAAACTACAGAGAACTGTCATTACACCCTAGAGACTGCAGGCATTAATGCACGTATCGCATGCACAACGAAAGATGCAACCAAATCTATATAAAAAGCAAACAACCAGCAACTCAACATCACTATTACTGAGAAAGTCCAGAGCAGTAGTTACTCAAGTATTAGACAAATAGGTATAAAATGGAAAGGTTCACATGAATACAAGTTTTTACAGTTTGCTTGAAAGTCTTCTAGAAGCTACATTTGAAATTCTGAAAAGAATTTTATATACACTGAAATGAAATTCAGCCAAGTCCATTGTGCCTTCTTTCTCTTTGTCTATATAGTTCTTCAAAAATGAATATACAGTTGCTTTAGTAAATTAGTGCAAAACAAAATATTTTGGAAGAAGATCATCAAATTGTATCCACATCAGCTGAAAACCCACTGGGGATTTTGCACAGATGGAGTGCAATTTCTTCCATTACCGTTTCCCGCGTGTAAAGTGTGCTTTCTCGCCATCCCTTCATACGACAAGCTGAGCCATGTCTACAACATGGGAGCTCCGATACAAGCCAGCTTAGCCCTGAAAGCTTCGAACAGCACTTCCACATGGTTAGGGTTTCCCAAATTCACTCCGCCACATTTTACTGACAACTTAAAAATATTTTTCATAAACTTTTGAGGGTATCTTCTGAGGGAAATGTCTTTTTGTACCTGATGCAGAAGGATCCACTCTCTATAAGCCTCATGAGGAAAACAAAAAACCCTGATCATTCAAGTCAAAGCACACGTACAAGGATCAGTTTGAAGTGTGAAGAGAGATTCTTTTAAATTCTGTTGCTAGGAAGAAAAAGAAGCTGCTGGATCAGTAAGGCAAGTGTACTTTTGGAATTTCTCCTCTTTGAATATGCTGCTATTTCTTTGGTAGTCACCACAGAAATGTAAGAATCATCTTCCACGTGGGGCAGAACAAGGACAACAATTAAGCTGTAGTGAAAAAAGTGCAGTATCACTGATGTGGTCCCTTATGTTCACACCATCTGGTCCTTGGGATATTCCTACTGCTCATACACAGCCACTGTGCTATAGCAAAGTGCGGAAAGCCTTCGCTCAATGCTAGATTTATCTGCAAACAGAGAGGGGTAAAAAATAGGTGATGACTTCAGTGTTACTTTCCAATGCATTACTTCCATTTAATTTTCCATATTTTCATTATTCAACATAAACTTACACTTGTGTACATTTTCTATATCTGCAGGGTCTTGCAGTATTTTAGACAGTCCTTCCAGCAGCAAGGCTGCTTTGTGGTATCGATATGTAATATCTTCCGTTTGCTGAAACATCTCATCCAGAGCTGCTGACTGAACCTGGAATCATTCAGGAGATTTAGTTGCATAAACTGCGTTAGGCAAGTAATAGAATGAAAAATTCAAAATGAAGGATATAAAACTGTCATTAAGAAATTATTCTTGAGCCTTAATTTAGCTGATCTGTTTTTCTAACTGTAATACAACAAAATGAAGCCTGAGAGAATACAGCGCCTGTGCTGCATTAGCTAAGGATATTCTGCACATACAAGCAGTAAAAGCACCTTTTGATCTTTTGTGTTTACGTGTGTTACAATAACATATGAATAAATATGCTTGTTCTTGTATCTACATGCTCTTGTAAAGAAGACAAATTAATTGTGCATGACGACACCATTATTGCGGTTAAGCACAATATCTACCAGTATCTTTTGTGTGACACCTATGTTAAAAAAACATACTTCCCTTGCCAAAAAAGCAGTTGAGTTTCCTGTATGGTTACTGCATCTGCTCTATGGCAGATATCAAGTTTATCAATTACATGAAAAAGCTTCCACATGTTTGCTACTGTTTTTGCTTTGTATGGACAGGCTGATGTTCCTCCAATTGACCTGGCAGATTGATGAAGCTACTTCTGTTGCTTCTATGCTTTAGTAAGCCTTACTGGGTGAGACTTCAGTGCACAGGGCTGTGTGGCTTAGGAGTTCACTTCCTGGTCTTTATGGACCAAATGTGCTGATATAGGGGAAATGTCCCCGAGGAACAGTATCTGCCAGGAACTTTAGCCACAGTTAAGGCAGGGCAGCAAAGAGAGTGAAAGACTAACAAAAATTATCATGAACAGAATTCTGGAAATATACATTCTATTTTCTGGCTATGCAGAAGAGCTATGCGAGAGAAGGAAGCAATTCATCTCCATGTTCTACCATTTTGGTAAAAGCAGTGACTTACCATTTCCACAGCACAGCTGTAGATGAGTTTCTCTGCAGTCACACTGTTGATTTCATCAATGAACCTTTGCTTGTCCGAAAAGAAACGATTCAACTTTTCCGTCAATTTCTTGCACATGCCAATACAGAACTTGTATCTCTCGTTGAGGCTTTTCACAACTGGAAGAAAGGTAAGAATAAATGAAAAAACAAACAAAAAAACCCAAAACAAAACAAAAAAAAAACCACCCCAGAAAACACCCCCCTCAAAACAACAACATAGCAGAAGTTCAGCTTTTCCCAGAACTAGCAATCTGTTTAAACTTGTGCTTTTAATGTTTATTTATTCTGCCACTTCTACGAATTAAGTCTGTATCAAATAATATCCATTTCAAGTTAATAACTGCCCATTTCTTAAAGAGCTTCTAGCTGTATTTTTGTTCATTATCAGAATTGTGCAATCCTACATATCTACAATTCTCTTGTACAGAAGAAAACAAACAAATGTTGCAACTTCAGCTTTCAGAGTGATGCATCAGCAAGGAAAATTCACAAGCAAAGCAAATCAGATTACGTTGCATCTACCTTGCTTAACAGCGGTGGATGGGTTCAGTTTCCCCGATTTGACCTGTGCTTTGGCAAGATGCAGCGAAGATGCTAGTAACTGGGCGGCTTTCATATATAACACCAGCTGCTCTACTTGTCTAGGAAGGGGAGGAGGAAAAAAAAAAAGTAATTATGTATCAAAACACCTTTCTTGAACATATTCAAGCCATGGGCAGACATCACATTTTAATCACAACCGTACACAGGGCCCAGCAGCAGCAGCAAAGGAAGCCAGATGTTTAAAATGCAACTCCACCCCTCCTTTCCCTTCACAAACAGTCTGTCACGGGTTGAGAGTACATCTGCTCATCTGGTAGCTGCAGCAGCAAATACAAACTGCTTTCGTGTAGACATTTTAAAAAGGAACACTTCTTTGTGGGGACTAACTGCCCGAGGTCAACGTTTTGCCACAAGTGACTGGGTGTACTTTTCTCACAGCGCCATTTCCTGTGCCCCTGGAATTCTCAGCTGCGAAAAGCAAATGCTTTGCAGGGATTTTTTTGTTGGGTTTTTTGTTGTTGTTTTTTTTTTTCTTTCAGGAAGGTGGCAGGAAGTGGAACTGCCCTTTCCCATCACTCCAAATTTCTCATATTTTTCCTCGCTTTTGATTTTATATTGGGGCTGATTGGTTCCACTGAAAAAAGGTCAAATTTGGACACTCCTTCCCCCTTCCCAGCCTCGACCTCAGTGCTACTGCTTCAGCCTGGTCAACAGGAACAGCTGAGGGCTCAGAACTGACAGAAGCTGGTACACAAATTTCCAAGCTTAGAAACGCTGTACTGCGCCTCAAGCCTGAACTCCTCACTGCTTTCCCCAACTTATGTCCCAGGCCAGAAAACGCTGTCCTTTTATTTGTCTGCTAGCAGATGTCTCTGTCCTTCGCTCTATCTTTCTGATCTATCTTCAGTTGTTAAAAAAAATGTATTCCTATAAAATGTTCTATACAGCAAAACAATCACTCCCAACAAAATGGGGGCATAGTTTGCCTGAATACATTTTTGATGTATTCAATATTCACTAACTCTCTTGATACTACTTGACCGCATACTTACCCCCATTCTTTGCTCAGCTGGCTGATCTGATCAACAACTATGCTCTCTTGGATTTGGTACAGCGATACTGCAGAAGTACACAGGTCTGGGTTTCCTCCTCGTACTGCTGTCAGATCCAGAACGCATTCTGTAAATGTCAGCATCATGTTTAGATGACGCAGTGTATCTGTATGTTCTCTCTGTCAGTGGGAAAGATGATAATTTAACCATTATAAGCCATGAGGCAACCAAGTACACTTAAAACTCTTGCTAATCATTTGAGGATTTCTTGGTATGTCAATTCTATGCAGACATCACATCGTAATAGAGCCAGCACTAGGGACAACAAAACCAAATGGTTCCAAACGGATCAACTTCACTTGTTCTCTCTTCGTTAATGATTTCAAGATACTGTAACTTATAGTTAAGAGTCTTTCAACAAAGCCAAAGGAATTGGGACATGGTGTTCTATGTTTGTTGAAACCTGAGCAACTAAAGGAATCACAAGTGGGACGTATTTCTTGTTATTATATTATCAGCAACCCAAAAGTATGCTTGGCACTTGTATAAGAAGCCAGGAGGAACATTTGGCTTTTATTATATAACAGACTTGATACCTACAAGAGAACTGATCTAAAGCTTCATACTTCTCTTCTTCACTCTAATTTACACTAGATCTAGATTTATATTGTGTTAAAAGGTGGCTGTTGCCAAAGTTTACAATTTAAACTAAACAACTTCAATTGGAGTTCACTGCTTCTTGGTGACTAAAACAGATACTACATGCATAGTCTCTGCTCAAAAAAAAAGTTAGCTTTCAAAACTAACCAAAGACATCTTAGCAATGTTTATAATCTTTTCATTAGTAATGCAAGTCTAAATACATTTTAAACTCTATCTGTGGGAAGAATACAGTGTACTGTCAAACATTCATGTCATAACATATAAATTCAATAGGGATCCAAACACCTTCCAGCAAGATGTGAATGAGAAAACAGAACAGCAATCTGTCTTGAGAAATTTGCAGTCCAAGGATAGCATTCTGGTGAAAGAGCACCCCATTTTGTGTTTTTAAAGTGTCGCTCCTCCACACATTTTAAAAAATATAGGACACTCTTCCCACAAGTAGGATTTAATGTCATCCACTGACTGTGAAGATGCAGTTAAAAAGAATGCCCAGAGGGACACTGCTACTGTCAGCACCCACAGCCAGAGACTTGGCATTAAAACAGAGGCCTCTTTGGAAGGCTCTGGTGAACAAAAGCAGTCGTGTTCCTTCGGTTACCTATTCAGATACATGAAATGCCAGGAATAACCACCAAAGAGAAATTGGCCACAATTGATACAGGAATACTCTCAAGCTCTTAAAAAGGAATACGTGAGATAGCGAAAAGGAACCTATGAAGTGCCTTAGGCAGTCCTGTTTTTACCATGTCTCTGTTTTAGCAGCATTATACATTATAAAACATTAAATCATTTTTTCTATACCTCCATTAAAGTTTCCTCAGGCAATTCGGGAGCTTCAAAAGTGATAAAGCCCTCTAAGCTGGGAGGCGAAGTACCATAAGGCATGTACTTCAGACTCGGAGCTGCCTCGGCTCCCGGAGGAGAAGAACCCATATAAATACCAGGAGGAGAGCCCATATATACACGGCCACTAGTAGAGCAGAGAGACCCTCCAGAACTGTTTGATCCAACTACAAGAAAAATAACACACACATTCAGTCTAATAGGTTGTTCCATCTTGCAGCGCTGGGGCTGCAGATGACAGCAACTGACAAATCAGTAGTCATCACAAATTCACTCTTGGGAGGCTCTCCTCATTGTTCCTTGCATCGCTCTGTAGAGAATGCAAAGGCCACACCTTAAATCAACAGTGACAATTTATACTACAGATTCTGGAAAATGGCTGACAAGGATTCCAAGGCAGAAAGTCCAACAGTACAGACCAAAGGTTGTGCTAATAGTTCACAAAAGCACACTGCTGCAGACCCCTGCTCATCCTGAGCAGCTGAATGCCTTTACCTTGAGATCTCTGATACTTGGCAACATTGCTGGCATGCCAAAATGCAGTCAGCTCACATCCCTTGAGTATTGTTTCTGGTACAATGCACAGCAGCAGGCAAAAATGCAGAATCAGAAATCTAACTTTTCCTCTCCACCTTTGTCACAGAAATCTATTATACTCCCATGTGGTGGAGTAAAGCTGTGTACACAGGATGCTACACACTGCTGCATTGTAAATCCATGCTTCCGGACCTCTCTTTAGGAGAGAAAAGGCAGAAGTCATCTGCTGTTAATCTCTACTTTACAGGGCACTTTTACTGTATGGCCTGGAGGACCTACTGCACAAGGCAGTAGGTACATTACTGGCCCAAGAAGTGGGCAAGCCTAAATATTGCATTTGGCAGCAGTCCACAGCGGCCAGGAAAAGTCTTACCTGAGGTGGTTCTTGTTCTGAGGACCATATGGGTGCAGGTAGGAGGGGTGGCACTGCTTGGAGGGGACCCAACAGTAAACATGACAGCCCGAGAACTTGCCCCACTTCCCATGGAAGGAGGTGCCATTGCAATTCCATAGGCCCCTGCCGGAGCTGGAAGAGAAAATTTCAGCAAGTTAGTCCCTATTACATAAAATCATAACCAATAAGTAATTATACGCAGCAAATTGGAGCACTGCAACACAACACGCTTTGAGTAGATCCAAGACTTGGACTCGTTAGAAGTTCTGACAGCAAATAAAACAAGCTGAGTGGACAGCTTGGCGATACACAGAAAGAGTCAAGATGCATTCTTCATATATCCTGTTGCTTTGAACCTCTCTCTGTTCTACCCTTGCCTAGAACAGAGCAACAGAGGCTCTCTCCGAGAGCCTGAGGACAACACCAGTCCGGCAGCAAAAGATAGACCAGAAAAATTCTAAAAGCAGACCACGACAGGTCTGGAGGCTAAAGACCAGCCCTTGTCTGCAGAACTTCCATCTGCTCAAAACCAAGTGGAGAACTCCTGGTAGCCATCTGGGACAAGGGATAAGCTGGGAGAGGGAGAAGAACCAAAAAAATGACCCAGAATTACATAAACTAGCTTTCATATGAAAACAAGGTGGAATTAGGAAATTAAACAGCCACAAATGTTTTATTAAAAATAAAACCAAACCCAAAACACCCAAACCCCTCTAGTCAGTATAGGCAGCTGAGATATTTCTGTGTTTAGCACAGAAATAAGGTATTTTCCTGTCTCAGTTATTTTTAAAGCTATGCTAAAGATATGGAACATATCCCCTTAAAGATTAAAAAAAGCCTGCTGTACTGAGGCTAAAAATTGTCAGAACCAACTATTGGAAGTTGGAAGCAGAACTATATCTACCTGGCACTCCATAAAACACCTAGCACATAAAGACAGCTTGGATGTATCAATCTGCTCCTTACCTGTATCCATTGGTCGCTCTGTATTGAGGCTGTCTGTACTGCCTTGATATAACTGGCCACCAAGGGTAGTCTTTACCTGTTGATCCGATAGCTTCCCAGTACTAACAGACCTAGACAGAAAAACGTATGAATTCACAACAAAGTTCTTCAGTAATTTCTTCCTACCGAACTTGCAATGAAGGATGACTTTCAGATTCTTGGTATTACAGAGAATTCTTCAACAAAAGCACAGAAAGTCTTGAAATCTCGCTATTCATCATGGACCTACTGAAATAGAGCTAACCACAAAAATAGAGACCTTTCTCTCTTAAAAAAAATTATATTGCAAATTTTGTCATGTAGATTTTCGAGCAAAAACTGAACAGGCTTCACAGAGGCAATGAAAATTCCATATTCAGATAATCAAAACAAAAGGGAACTAGACAGCAACATAAAGTGCTTCAGGAAGTCCGTGCTATATTTATACACAGTACAAAATGTTTCTGCTGTATACACCAAGCCTCAGCATCTCCTCACAGCTCTTTTTTCACATGTTCTTCCTCTCCAAGTTGCTGCTTGCAATGTACATTTTTGTGACGAGTTACCTACCCAACTTTACAGGTTATAAATACTACAATGCCTACCTGCCAAACGTAGTTTTACTGTGCTGTTCCCCTGCCTGCTTTTCACCTCCTTGGGTCAAGTGGAAGTGTGTGAAATCTCTCGGGTCAGCGATGTCTTTAGGCTGCAAGGGTGTATCTGCTGAGCCCTGGCGATTAGCTAGGGCCATCAAGTTTGAGGACGCTTGAGTTTTAGGTATTTTGAAAGGAGCTGTTGCCTTTAAAAATCAAGACAAAGAACACACAAAACCCAAGGTTAGAACCCCAAAATATTGTTAGGAATTGTTTCAAGCAGTGTGTTACCACTTCATGTGTTACTGACAGTGGCAAACTTAACAAACCTTAGTAGGAGAGCCGATGATTGTTGGCAACGGAGTTTTGAACAGCCAGTCTGAACTCCGAGGTGATGATCCCGTATGTTTGGTAGGTGATGTTCCCAGGCTACCTGGCCTGCTTGGTTGTGGAGAATGACTGTAGCCATATCCAGCATAGGATGGGCATACTGGGTCCGAATGCTGCTTTCTGAGCTTCTGCTTGTTTTGGTAAATATCTGTGAGAGTAGGAGCACTCTGCAACCTCGCGCCTATCAAAAGTGACTGTGGAGACTGAGATGGTGGTATGGGAGAACCTGTGGAGATGAAAAACAATGCAGTACAGTTCTACTTACAGTGCTTGGAAAATGTTATCAATGAAACCTAAAATGCCAGAGATCAACACTAAACTGAAAGGAAATGGAACTGCAAATATTGTAGACATGTCTGATCATCAACTCACTAAGTGGCAAGGAGAATGGATTTAGCCTGTCGGCTAGTCGGACTAAGACTGCATTACACTGATGAGACGTTCAAGCTGCCAAACAGGCAAGATTTCAGGGTGACAGCTGTACTGGCAGCTGCAGTACCTAGCCGCCAAGACTCTAGGTTGAATAGAGGTTCTGAAGTACTGGAATTCTGTTCTTGCAAACAAGTGCGTGAATGTGACATTGCATGTTAACGACTTGTTTTGTACATAATGACTTCATCTGCAGACACAAAACGCAGCTCATCTCATGGTACTAAAGAGAACCAAATTATTCCAATGAAACAGTTGGGGATCATTACTTTGGGCAGTCATTTACTTTTTAGTCTGTCAGACTGAATCTTTTTCAAAAGCTTACTATGTACAAAGAAGTCCACACTTAAGTATGACTGCAAAGTCTCTCCTAAAGCAAATGGAAATGGAAGAGCTAGACGCAGTCTTTTAAACAGAGGGCTTTGGGGAAACATCTTTTACGAACATCTCACCTACTCAAAGGTGCCCTTCCTCTTTCAAAATAAGGAACCTGAAATTTGATGAAATGGTCTCTTCCTTATGATATTTTTATATCTCATGGTGAGGAACCGTGCAGAGTTACAAACAGTACATAAGACTTCAGCTTTATGGCCACAGCTTCCCACATAAAATGCCTATCTTTGTAACCTCAAAGGACTGACACTGAAGTGACAATTCCACTCACATTGTTTGTTTTTGTTGTTGTTTTTTAAAAAAAGCAAAACTAAAAATGAACCATACTAACCAGGTAAGATTTTTAAGAGCTGTCCAAGACAGCTCCAGCACAGGGATCAAGCCTATTTCTCATTAACTTCCCAGACAAGAATTTGGTTGTTCGAAACCCCTTTGCTCATCTGTCTCATAGCACTCAAAGTCCTCACCTGCCGCTTCAGAAACCAGTCTTAAATCTCACTTGTTACTGTTGTAGTGTCATTGTCATCACAGGGGAGGCTTCTGAATTAGAAGTTTGTCCTTTGCTGCCACTGGCAGCAAGAGCAGCTCAATTAGTTCAGAAGCTACATTACAACAGGTATCTTCAGTCCTCAGAAAAACTTAGTACAGATGACCTCACTTCACCCAGAAGCAAAAGACAGGTTCCCATGCCCATTTAAACACTGAGAAACAGACATGCTGCAATTTGTGGTATTTTACAACTAGAAACACCACTGCATTCATTTGAAATTAAGAAATAAAGTCAAGTAGGAAAAGAATGCAGGAAACAGATAAAGAAATGAAACACTCAAAACCCTTACAGCCATAAAAGCAGTGCTGTGGTATGTTACAAGTACAAGTCAGTTTGACACACTGTACACTGGCAGTTCTTCCTCCCTTTTCTGAGGACTGGCACTACAGAGCTGGTCTATCAAAACCAGATTCCAAGAAGCATGTAACTACCATTCACTGTAATCCATTCGCTTCCATCCCTGTCTAAAGACAGGCATTTCCAGACTTGCTTTTTCATCTTGAGAAAAAGAAACTTCAGTTGCTCTGTTCTTGTTGTAGGGAATTAGTTATAGGGAGAGCTGTCTTGATACAGCCACAATCGCGCTAAGTTCCTGCAGAAACTCATCACCTACCCAGCGTCTCCTATTAACCCGTACTAATGTAGTGTTGGTTCTCCTCCCCCTTCACAAAATGCTGTAGAAGCTCTATCAAAGTAGTATTGGTTGCATTGTCCAAAGTCACTCACCTGAGAAGTTTCTGCTCCTTGACTCATGTCCTTGAAGTTGTCCGCAACAACAATGTCCAAGCTGCTCAGGTATGGTTCCAACTATGCAAACAAAATAAAAACGTGAATTTAGGCTTTATACTTCACCTACAAATGAAGGTAAAGCAAAATAAAACCTAGCTAGTTTACTTCTGGAAGTCATTTAACAGAAATTATTTCTGCAAACGTGACCTAGTTGGGCAGATTTTGGTTTAAGATAATTTCAAGAAAGAATTAAGTGTGCTGAATTACTGTTCCAGATAAACCTTTACTAATAGCTAAGAATTTATGGGCTTACCCAGTGGTGAAGGAGAATATGGTCTAGAAGATCCTGTGGATAACCTGCGCCCAACACCCTGTGCAGTGTCAGCTGGCACCGGAGAACAGGAGCCCATCTTCATGAAGCCCATTGGGCTAGTATTTGAGCGTCTCACAACCCCAGATCTAACAAGGTGAAAAAAATGGTTACACACACTATAGTAACTATGGTTCCTTGAGATAAGCTTCAGAATCCTCTAAGGAGTATAATATCAGTATGTTCTTTAACTGATCATTTAAAGAGGAAGCTGTGACAGTGAAGCTTATTAAGCTAATAACTTAAGCTAAGCTTCCCATACTGAAAACAAGCAAGATTTAATTCCCTTTGTTCACATTGACTTTTTAACTTTCAATGCTGTAACAGTCTGTTAACTGGAGAAAATTAAACCAGATATCCCTTAGTACATGGATTCCTCATCTTCAAACAATTTGATCTTCAAATTTTTAATTTTACAATAAAGCTGAATGTATTGCTGCCAATGTCCATTTTTATGTCAACAAAGATTATGACAAAGTTTTCATATTGGGTCTGGTGTACAGGTCGGATAACTGAAAACAGATTATTTAAGGGAAAGGCACTTCCCTGAGTGTAGCAACCATTATAAAACCAGAAATCCTGAAAAAAAAATGCAAGGAACTGTAGGTTTTGTTTTTGTGAAGATCTCCAGAGTTCTCAGCAGTCTATTTCTGAGTCTTTGACCTTCACCATCTGATCCTGTATGCCACAAGGCAGACAGTAAGTTTGGCACACTAGAGCTTCATAATAAGACAAGCTGGTTAACTAGCATGCCAAAAATTGTTTCCTTGATATTCTACAGAACAATGCAATCATCTCCTCACTATATGCATGAAAATAAAACACAATTTCTTCCTGACTTTCTAGTTTCTGATGTAATGCCATGTAATACACAAAGAGGAATAAAAAAGCAAGACTTCATATTTCTACCTTCTTGGGCTGCATTTGAGTGAAACAACCACCTCATTTTATTTTAATGAAAAAATTCAAGTGCCCATAGAACAATCTTGAGATTGTGAAGGACTATTATTTGTTATCATTAAAATGTCTCTTTAGAATGCTTTTGTGCAGAAAAAAAAATGACTTCATCAAGAAAGCACGGACATCTGTTAGGGTACAAACAGAAACTAGAACCAAGAAAAAGGGTTAAAAAAAAAAGAACACCTCACCTTGGTGATCCATGGGGGTTTGACACGGGGCTGGCAGTAGAGGAGAGGTTCTGTTCTATGCGCTGGTAATTCCGTAGCTGAGTGGGAACCGGGATAGGTACTGTTTCGCTGCGGGGGGACATTGAAGGCTGACAATGCCTGAAGTTGGAAGGTACGGAGACAGGAGATGAGCACAGGCAGACAGCTCTCTCTCCAAACTGTACCATTGTGGAAATTTCAAAAAAAATCCAGGAAACAGGCAAGTAAGCTGTTTCTGCACTCCCTGCAAGCAGTAAGATTTTAGCCTGTCCGAATCCAGCTCTAACACTTCACAGAGGAAGATCAAGGACTGTTCGTTACTCACCACCTTTCTTATGCTGGCTACTCTCAGTCTGAGCAGGGAGTGCAGTACCAGCTGAAGCACTTTGTCACGCATCATGGCGATCTACAGATCCCTCCGACCTCCTGCCAACCCGCCCGCTCTGTTTACCATGCTTCAAAATAGCGTTCTAGGAAACCCCACCACGCTAAGGACAGGAAGTTCAGCAGCAGGGCTGGAATGTGTACAAAAGCCACTAAAGCACAGTCAGAGATATCCCAAGAGACACCGCGAACTTGCAAAAGGAAAACACGTTACGTAACCAACCCCTGAAGAAATGACCAAAACCACACACCTGAACATTAATCCACAGACTCGAACTGCAGATTAGCATTACCCAAGTTCAACTCAAGTGTCAGTGACCTGGCTTACCTCAGCGTACTATCTGATAAGGGAATCAAACCACCGCAATGTAATCAGTTACCAACACTTTTAAATGAAGACAGAATTCAATGAAAAGAATTTCAAACTAACGGACTTTTTGGAAGATAATCAGTTGAGTATCTGGTCCTTTATTGACCACCTCTTCAGAGAAAGATTACAAATTCTTAGAGGAAATGTGAAAAAAATTCTACCATGAGCTCTAGAACAAACAAGCAGTTAGAGCACTCACTGCACAGCTACAGCTGAACAGAAATCTGGGTTTCCAACTGCACTTGTCCTATTCTCTTTGCTACCTCTGAAAATGAAATACTGCTTCCTAGTAGGCATAGAGCTTCCTTAGCAAAAGAAAAGTAGTTTGTCTTTTTATTGCCACCCAGTTTCTAGACACTACCAAGTAATTTGAGTCAGCTGTGAGCACACAGTTGATGGAAGGCCTGAAAGCTTCCATCCAAGCAGGTCTCAAGTCGAAAACACACGCAGGCAGCAGGCAGCCTGCTACAACTAACACAACATGCTGAGGGAGTACAGGGAGGCTCCCTGGGCCTGACCTCCTGGAGCGGGGAAGCAGACGTTATATCTCAACTGTGGCAGTGACACTGAGGAGGCCAGGAAGGCACTGCAACTTTTAAAGTACTCAGCATGGAAAATGCCTTCCCCTGCTCCCTCACATCCTTGCAGGTGGATACAAGCAAGCTCTGCGAGCTAACTGGAGGCAGCAATGCTGTGTTGCTGTGGTGGAGAGGCATGGTACAGTACCTGGCCTTACATCAGGGCTCCCCAGCTCAGACCTAAACTAAGCTCTGGTTAGGCATCCTTGAGTCTCATGTGGTTTGTTACTGGTTAGAGAAAATGCGATACAGACGCATGCAGAGTTGCATGCAAATCTTGTTTCTGTGAGATCCAGAGAATAAAATTAGCAATTAACCACAGGAGACTGAACTGCCTCTGCATATTCTGCCCATTCTGGCTGGAGCCTGAGAAGTGTTACAGCTTCCTCTACTTGACATAAAGCAGCATAACTATGGGTACAAATAATTCAGTTTGATCAACTAATGAGAAAAATTCACTGTTTCATAGGGCACAACCTTTTGTAAATAATAAAATAAAAAAATCACATACTATAAAAGAACATTTCTCAGGAAATAAAAAACCAAAACCAAAAGCAGCATCTCGTAGAACATCAGATACACACTCTGCCTCCTTCAGACCATGCCCTGAGCAGACAGTTAGTTACTGAATTTACTCAACCAATAATTAAATCAAACTATTATAGTACATATACTTACAGTGTGAACAACAGGCACCTGTTTCTAAGCACACGACCCTGTAGCTCTTAACTTTGTGATGTACAGATAACGTAACTGGCATACTTCCATAAAACCCATAACTCTAAAAACTGTGACACCTGACAATTTAAAACAGGAAATTACAATGTATTTATAATATACTGTATATGGCCAATTCAGAGCAAATGGATCTTTACAGACAAACCATCCCCATTATCTGCCCTTAAACATAAAAGGTAAGACTAAAGCTGTATTGATAGCCCATGTCAGCAGATTTCACAAACTGCACAAAGATCAGCACAAAGTAGCAAACTTTTCTTGTGACAAGCATTTCTAAACAAATAACGCTGACTTGCAGCCCTTTAGTATTAGGATAAGCCAAAAATACACCCAACATAATAGCTTTATTCCCCATTTAGCCACTCATCCTCTTTCTGTTTGTACTGAGAACATTATGAAATTCATTACTTGGTCAAATGACAAATCTGATCCTCCTGTTTAGATATTACATGAGTAGTTAAAAGGCATGATCAAGCTTTACATTTTCCAATATAATACAGGAAAGATTTCAGGCACCACTGATGAATAACAGTTATATTTCACACTAGCAGAAACTTAGTTTACAACCATGTGGAAGAAAAGAGGACTTATTAACAGTCCTGCTAAAGCAAAAGCTGCACTCCATGTTTAGCTCTTTCTTGTGGCTTCTTTGGTATCTTGTGAGACACAAACATGAAATTCACAGTAATCACTTGCACAGAAGCCACACCCCGTTACCAGGCACAAGACAATCCAGCCACCAGACACAAATCCATAGCAATTTGGGCTTTTTAAGTTCCTCTTCTCTCACAACTACTACTTAAAATGTACATTTGCCTGTTGACTTGCTAAATGAAGACTGCACTGTGCTTCATAACTCAGAAAGGGCAAGTCAGTTATGTCTTGGAAGTTTCTGATTTCAACCAGTTGAAAAGCTAAACAGACAAAAGAATGCTCTCTTTCCTTAAGGAAATCCTTCAAGGATGTATCAGAGCCAGAAGTCAGCTACGCAACCATCAGCTATTAGAATGCATTAAGTGTAGAGAGTCTGGAAAACACAGGTCTAGCTTCTATTTCAATTCAGTTTCCAGTAGTCAGCCATCCACAATTTAGAAAAAAACAACCAACCACATAGTAGCAGAGAACCTTTTTAAAAGAGAGGAAATACTAAGCCTACACCACACACCTGTTAGCTGTACCAGAAGCAGTACTTCGAGTAGAGGCCGAGGATGGTTTCTGTACAGTTCCTGAGCTTCCAGAAATAGTTAATGGTGACTGCCTGTGAAAACAAAAACCACTGTCAAAAGACAGGTCTTCACATCAGAGAAACTATCGTCTTCGCAGCAATACTCTGAATTCAGGCTGTTTATACATTCATATTAAATTCAACTTGGCATATTAATCTTTAAGACAGTCCACAGAGCTACGTAAACCCATCACTGCCAAAAACCCAGCAACCCCTTCTACAGCTGCAGTATCAATTTTAGAACATGAGACTTCTTTTGGATAAAGTTCAGCACACCTACCCTCCACACATCAAGAACTCGCTCGAAGCCCGCCTGCCAGCTGCTCCCAATGGCATATCATCTACAGTAAGCAGAACACATTGAAAACCCACGTCATGCAGCAGAATCTTTAAAAAACACATCTCCAATATTACTGTTGCAGAAATAATCACTTCTAACAAACTTCCATGAACATATTAAATTTTTTCCACAAACTGTTTTGTGTATGAAAATACCTCAAATGTGACCTATAAGAAAAAAGTAATTGGGGATGGTAGTTCTTTAACAAGTTTTTTTTCTTGTTTGGTTGGTTTTGTTGGGGTATTTTTGCTATACTGACTATAATAATTTTGAAATAAAATCTATTGTTTAAGAGTATAAGGTTATCAGCATTAAGAAGCTTATTATAAAGAATGACAGAAAACCCTTCAGAGATCAAGGCACTACTTAAGTCAAATATTTAACACAAGTTGGTGGCGTTGCATGGAAATCAGCTGACTAGCTTCCTAGTGGCAATTCAGGTTTGGAAGATGTCATAAAACGCCAAAGTGCTACATCCAAGTCTTCCTACTGCACAAGCTCAGTCTGGTGCCTTGCTTTTCACATTAAGCATTTTTTAATGTTTTTACCTGCACTTGTTGATTATCTAAAGCTCCGCAGCATGGTCTATAAATGTTCAGCTAGTCTGGAGGTAACAATGTGCCTGCCTTCACTGAGAGAATCTTTGGGCTTCTTAGCAGCAGTTGTTTACAATTGACTCTCTTCTTCTACTGCCAAAATCCAATAGTTTTCATGACTTTAAATTACCTTGGTATCTTTGACATATCTGGCTACTCAGTTTAAGGTAAAAAGGTCCCAGATGGACATGCAGGTGTACTAAACAGCCTCCCTTCAAAGAGTAACCAAACTAAAGAAATGAGTTCTAAGGTCAATTGAGACACATTTAGAGAAGAGAGCACCGAACAATAACAGGACATAAAGGTATGTTACCAGTGGAAATTGGTTTAAAACGTAAAAATACAGAAGGTTCTTACATGAGTGGTCTGAAGAGATGTTGTGTGGGACAAGAACAAAGTCATCTGTGTCACAAGAGGAGTTCTTGCTACTGGTACTGGCAGAGTCTTTAGAGACTTGAAGATAGTTAGGAGGACCCAATGGAGGGGAAGACAAATTTTCTTCCTGAATATGCTGCATGTCAATCATCAATAGCTTTGACAAAAAAAAAAAAAATTGGGGACTTTTTTGTTTATTAAGTATTCAGAAATACAAAATGTATTTGAATGTGGAAATTTCAAATACTGGATAACCCTACAGTGTCAATTTAGACAGTTCTACATTAAGGCTGTGAATTTAAACAGCTGCAACTTACTCAATCATTCCTGATGATACAGATGCACCTCTTCCAAATACTGCATAAAACTGAAGTCACCAGTTCTTACCAGCGTAAGGGGCCTTAGCCAAAAAGGCTAATTCAAAAATTATCTGTAACATTCATTATGTTGCAAACCATATTAGCATATCTGAAGATTTGCTACTCTAGCTTTTGATGTGTATATGTATTTTCTTCTTTAACAAAAAAGAACAACAACAAAAACCCCACAAAGTACAACACAAGGAGCAAGAGAGAACCAAAATGTTAATCCCATTCTTCTAGTAAAAGGCAGGGGTATTTCTTGCTCTGTGCTCTTCAACACAATAGTTTACACTGTTCAAGAACTGGAAGATCTAAAATCCAATAACTCTTGGCTAAACATTACAGAAAATATTTTCTAGACATTGTTCTGTACATCAGAGAACTTACTGGAGGAGAAGCAAAACGGCATGAAGGAGAGCTACCACAGGAACTGCCAGAGACTGAGCCTGCATATGTGGGCACTGGTACAGGACAAGCTAAAAGACAAAAACCCAGGGGGGAAAAAAAATGGGACTGAGATTTTGAGAGGCTGAATTTCAAACAAACTCATTTCCTTACTGCTTTTCATTCATAAACCCTTATACAACTTATGAGCACAGCACATCCTTAAACATACAAGGGTATTTAACTTCATTTGAAATCTCAAAGGAACTCTTAAGAAAGTATCACATTTCAGTCTAGCATAACACAAAAAAGGATTCCACACTTAGCCTCACAACAGAGCACAACTCATACTCCGGAAAACGCCTCATAAACAGTGTGATATTTGGCAGATCTTTCTCCATTCCAGCCTCCAACATTCATCATTTACACAATAAGTGCAAAACCAAAACTACTTACACTTTTTAATTGTTGAAATCTGATCCAGGAAAGGGTGGTTGAAAAACGCTTCTATAGAACAAGAAACAACAACCATTGTGAGTAAAAGTACAAATGACCTAGAATTTACAGACTATATTGCAGATAGTGATAAATGGTTGCCTTCCTAGAATCAATATTTCAAAGCCAGAGGGTGAAGAGCTTATAAAAGATTAAAGTCTTCAATGTTATATGTTGCCATAGCATTTGGAAAGGAACCAAAAATCAACTGAATAACTTCAAACAACAGCCAGCAAAGCAAATCAGACTGAATTACTGAAGAATATTTTATGACTGTACTCCAGGATCATGTACACCAGAAGCCATCCTATAATCGTCACAAAATTATGTTCTCTATATTCAATATGGTATTAACTCAGTTTTAATTTGCTTTACGAAATGATGAGCATCTTTCACATCACATACTGAAAGTATTTTCACTTCTACCTTTCCCAAGGACCGATGCTTATTCTTGAACCCATTAATGCCACTCCTTAGGTGCCCGAGAATGACAGGATAGAGCAGCAGTCGCTCTCCTTCCCGCTTCCCAACAGCAGAACATGACCTGTGCAGCCGGACCACTCTAAAGCAGAATTCCACGCAATTTCTTTAACAATTTCCTCAGTTAACTCATTACTGGTACAATAGAAACATTTTGCTGTTGTTGTAGATGGATATGCTGAGACTCATTTAATGGACTTAGCATAACCAGTTGGCTAGCAGTTTACACGGTAAGTTTTGTTCTACAAGAAGCAACCTTCAGCTAGCTAGGGGAAATTGAGGGTTGGTGGAAGCTAGTTGCTGAGCTTTGTGAACTTTAATGTTCTAACAGTTGAGGAAAAATAATGCTGTTCATCAGACCTAAGCAAATAACCAGGGAAAAAAATAAAACAAAGAATCTGAGGGCTGCAGTATCTCCTCTTCCTTCAACAACACTTTCTTCCATGACCCAGTAAGGAAGGGAGGCTAGCTGTAACGCAAGAGCAATGTAATGATTAACTTTAACACGAGGATCAGGTGTTCTTGAGCTTTTGTACAACACCTGCTGTTCTACTTTATATTGCTGGAAGATCAGCAAGATTTCCAATGCTATTTTTACTTTAACAACAGGCGACTGGGCTCAGTTATACACTCTCCCTTTCACTCCCTTTGCTAAGCACATTCCAGAGCAGCCCCTTTGAGGCCCTTTAAGTGGCTCAGCCAAGGAAAACACGACTCTCATCACTACCATTCTGCTTTCTATTTTTCTTTCTAAGCACAAATGCATTCTCCCACTACCACAAATGATACAGTGAATTTCCCATATTTGAAGAAACTGTAGGGATCAGCACAACCCAGAGTGCAGTGGAATCAATTACTCAGAGTCCATGTTTGTGACACGGTAATTCTTCTACGCATACAAATTTATAAACTGATTTCTGAATACTGTCACTATCATCTGGGACCTCTTACCCAGTTATTATGAGTTTTTTATGGATCTGAATTCCACTTCAGCTTTTACATACAGGAGTTAGATCAAGTCATTTCAGTCATGTCTACACACAAAAATCCATGCCTGATTCTCAGAAGAGCAACACCTTAATTATGCCAGTACTGATGGATGTTTTAAATTCCAAGTTATTAAAAAAAACAAAATTCGATATTTCTTGGAGCAAAATATAGCAGGAATTGAAAAGGAAAAAAAAGTAACCAGGAGAGTCTTGAGCGTCAAGTAAAGAACTAAAAAGCCTTTTGAATCCTTCTCTCTCCACAGCCTCACAAATATAGTCTTCTTATCACAAATACACAAGGACCACATGTGATGAATGAGTCAATTTGTGTATTTCAGCACTGCATCAAACCAAGCTTACATGCATAACTAAAGAGCAGTGGTGAAGGTTCATCAGCAGAAACAAAAACTGAGCATGTCTGACTTTTGACTGCAGCTCACCCCAGGCTCTCAGCATCACCAGAGCTGACAGCTCATGGTGAGGGAAGAACTGGGTCTTATCTGCACAGAGCCTGAAGAAACTTAAAGGTTTAGGCTTTCTTGCCACTCCATAGATTAAACTTGCCAAGTCACCTATCTTGTTGCCAAAACAAATCTCAGTGTAAAGCACATTGCTGTTGATATAAAATAATAATAATGAAGATAATTGTATTTAGCTAAGTTAGCTTTAATTAACTAAAAGTTTAAGATCAACATCTCCCGGCAGCTATGATAAAACTGCAATAACAAATACTGGTATAAAATTTAAACAAACAGCATGAGTAACATGACAGCAGCTAAGAAGAATTAATCAAGATTTAACTTTCCAGTGGTGGTCTTTTAAAAATGCTGCTTTTTTTCTTTTAATGCAAACTCAGGCATTACTGCTTTTGCAGTAATAGGTAACCAAAAAAACAGCAACAAAAAGGCCTTTTGAGACTAGAGTAACACACAGTGCAGCCAGTACAAAGCACACAAAAATCTAAACTCTACTCTTGACTAATTTTGAAGACGCAACAGTTGCAGCCACTCTGAATGATTCAATAGTACTGATCCGAGGCCTTGAAATCTTAATAAGTTAGAATAATGTTCTGCAACCAAACATCGCCAGCTAAAGAGAAAACGCCAAACACAGCAGTAAACTGGAGCCAAACAAGTTCACTTTTGTTAAGGGGGTATCCATCTACTTTGTACTACGCTTAACTTCCCAACTAATTAAAACTCAGTCCTAAACAGACCTTGCAGTAATTTAACAGTATGAGAACTTCAGTCACTGAACAGTTTAAAAATCTTAAAATTTGAGGACTTAACAAAATATGACACAACTTTTTTTTCCTACTACTTTTTGGTTTAAAACAAAAAGGTGACAATATTTCACTGAAATAAAGAAGTGTCTACAGTTAGCAATACGCAAGCACAATAATACTGGGAATTCAACTTTGCAAATATAAACAATTTTGACATAACATCACATGTCTCTATGCCCTCAGTTGTAGATAAATATAGCTTTCAAGGTCAAATCAAATGTACACAATTTGTAGCCCCATTAATACAGTTACGATATTTACAATTTGCAAGAGAAAGTAACAGGCAGGAAACATTTAAAGCAACTTTGCTTCCAAAGTGGGTTCTTCCAGTACTTGTTACATTTCTGCAACCATCACCAGGTGGAGATCAGAGATGCCTGCTCCCAGTCTGAAGCCAAAACAGCAGTTAAAGTAACAGAAATATGACTGTGACATGAAATTTAAGGCATTATCAATCAACACTGTGGGGAAAAAATAAGGCCACAGTCAAAAGAATTCAACTAATTTATATTTCACTAAGCTACAAAGTCATAATTTACATGCATCACAATACTGACAGTAGTCACCTAATAATTTATTTTGGCTGCTCTGCCTCCTTTATGAGGACAGAGAAGAAAAAACATACTTCAATTTTCATGTAATTGGATGTAGACAAAATGTCAAGACAGTTATTCTGGCCACATGAACACAACTAACAAGGAAAGTCAAGAGAGCAAAAGGAAAAGTTACGTACCAAAATCCATTCTATCTTTTTGGTTTCTCTGAAGCAAACCCAGCAGCAGGTCAGCCAAATAAGCTGATGTTTCCCTAGGAATACTGCACACAAGAAGTAGTAAAACATGCAATAAATTTCATGCATGCATGAAATAACGTGTAACACACTGAATTTCAGGAAGTCAGCATTCTGTCATGGCCCTAAGTCTTCACTACACATGCTCTACAGCCTTAGTACAGGACACTTTCAACTCAGCTAGGTACAAGGAAGGCAAGATGCAACATGAGTCACTGGTATCATACTATGTCCTTGTCAAAATAGCAACATCAAATATTTTTATAAAGCCCAGGCACTCCCAAAGATAAAAAAGTGTTCAATCAACAAATGTAAGTGACAGGAAAGGCCATGGTGACATACCTAGGAATCAAATTCCTGTTCTTTTCATAAAACATTCTCAAATCTTGAGGACTATTGGCCTGTCAAATAAAAATGTACATTAATTAAAGCTCAGTTTCATGGAGAAAATAGCTTTTGTACCTATGCACACATACAGAAAAAGGAGGCTTTTGAATATGGGCATTAAAGGCGAAAACCCCAAGCACAGCAGTGACTTCAGTGCTGCGTATCTTTCTATATTCCTCTGGACTGAACACACTGATCTCATAGAGACTAAGTACGAGCAACTTCTTCCTTGGTATCCTCAAGTGATCTGGCCTTTAACGCATTGACAGTACACTCAAACATCTGTGTCATCTTCTCACCGTACTGCCATCATACTTACTTCTGTTTTCATGACTGGAAGGAAAAGCCCTAGGAATTTGCATGAGACTAAAAAGAGGGAGAAGGAAATAAAGTGTTACCTGAAAAGGTGGTTTTCCAACAAGACACTGATAAATCACAGTTCCTATGCTCCACAGGTCTGCTTTAGCATCATAGTGTTGAGACATAATCACTTCAGGGGCCTGGAAAGAACAGCAATATCTCAGAAGGGAAAACATAAAAGCAAAGCCACAGCAATACGAATTCTACAGTTCTTCTGTCAGAGCAGTATTAACTGACACCACTTTACTGTAAGAAGAAATTAACATATTAATCTGCATCACATCACTTGGAAGGTAACAGTTCTACCTAAAATGAAAGCTACATTTCAAAAATACAGAAAACTAGAATGTTGATGTTCTGAAGAAAGCACCTAGCGATTGGCACGTATGGGAATAAGAGGTAAGTGTTCTTTACTTGGTTTATGCAGTCCTCCTTGTGGATAAATTACCAAGTATTTCATAAGGAATATCATTATCATCATTCTACATATACAAAAACACGACAATGGAAAGCAAAACTTCTTCCCGTCTTCCCATGACCATACAGTACAGTAGTGGTAGTGCCAAAGTCAGACAGTTCAGTGCTCAACTGACTACCACACTACTTAGTAAAAATTAATGGCAGTTAACTCTAAATTGTTTTTTTTTAAACAAACAAACAAAAGAAACCCCACATGTGAGAGAATACATTAAATAACTAGAAAAAAAACCCTCAAGTAGTTTTTTAACTACTAGTGTAAAGCTCTTCTAGCCTATATTTAATTACTTATCATTTTCTTAGAAACTGGGAAGGAGACAATGCCCTATTTCCGGAAAAAAAAAGTATGAAAGTGGGAATGAAACTACTTTGCCAAAAAAAAAAAACCCAAAATAAGATGTATTGCCTTTAATTCTCTAAGATTTTTCCTCCCTGCAGCACTAAGAAATGCCCAGTGCCTCTCCAATTTTAAAAATGGTAATCTCCAAATCACAAGAAAAAAACAGAGGAGCTAGTAAAACTAATGAAAGGTGAACTGTATGTGGCCTCTGATATTTCTGAAGCAACATTATGCATTTGCCAATCTGCAAGCAGCAAATTATTCTGTTCAGGTAGGAAAATATTTGAGATAAGCAAATCCGAAATACACTGTCACCTACCATATACATAGGGGAACCACACAACGTTGCAGCCATCATGTTGCTATGCAGATAACGAGCAAAACCAAAGTCAGCTATGTAAAGAAACACATTCGTCAATGAAAAGAAAGATAATTTTCAGATTTTTGAAGTCTAGAAATTATCTGTCTCTTACTGAAATCTGCTGCAATTACCAGTCAGAGAGAAAAAGACAGGTATAATACATAGACAGCTACAGGGAATAGTAAAATCAATACATTATTCTTTCAGTGTAACATAATCTTCCAAATAGCAAGCCAAGAAACAGCAGTGGCATCATTTGCATAAACTGCTGCTCAGCCATCTCCTTTTTTTTTATATTGCCGTCTGGCATCAGAAGGAAAGGATTAAAGTCAGTGGCTAAATATAAATGGTTCATTAAGAGTGATGAATATACAATCTGCTTCAGTGAAATCACGTAAGGTAGAAATTTAAGAAATTAAGTTTCAAATGCTTGAATTTTTCACATAAGCAAACGCATGTGAAATTATCAAGTAAGGAAAGCAAGAGAAGAGGTTTTGTCTCCTCTGTGCTCTGTAGAAGATGGAGTGGGTTGGTACAGACCTCAGATTTTGGTTGACCAAAAGCAGAGAAAAGAAACTTCTTAAAAAAAAAAAAAAGTATTTTTAAATGGACACTTAACAGACAACAACGAGAGACTAAAACTCCTGAAGTGTCCTCTGAAGAGGAGTCTGGGAGTATCCTGAACAGTTGACATCTCCCCCCAGTTACAATGCCAAACCTCCTTCTGACAAAAATAGGCCAAATCCTGTATTTCTAAACTTCTCAAATAACCCTTAGGAGCGTCTACCACAAAAAACACCCAGCTGGTACTGTGACTGAAGTCTCGCATGCACACAGTTTTTAAATGGGCTAAAGGCTACTCGAAGTTTCAAAGGTTACAGTTTTATGTCTAATTAAAATAGTTTAACACCAGAAACATCAGCTAAATAGTTTGGTTTTTTTTTTTTCCCTGCAGCTTTAATTAAAAAGGTCTCTATGACTCAAGCTCTTTTATACTAAGAATCTGCATTATAGCACAAAGCTCACGTTCTGGACCTACTATCTGATTTGCATCAATTTAATATACACCATATCAAGTATATCCTCTGCGCATTAACTACAAAGACACTCCTGAGTAGTGAAACAATCCAACCGTGATGATTTACCTTTAGATCAGAGAAAAGCATATTTACCTATTTTGATGCGTATGCCACTGACACTTGACTTCCTACGACTGGCGTAAGACAACAAAATATTCTGCGGTTTAAGATCCCTATGAATGATTCCCTTACTGTGCAGAATACGCATAGCTGCTGCAATCTGCTGGAGGAACACTCGGATGGTGTCTTCACTAAGAGTTCCTTTAGCTGAAAGTAACATACACATTAGCAGGTGAGAACATAAATATCATTATCTTTGGACAAAAAGCAATTAACTTCACAGTGATCAACTGTGAAAACAACAAGGACAACCAAATCATAGTGAATTCCATTCAGAACAATCCAATCTCCAGTATTTTTCTACAAATGGTATGTACTCTCAATCACACATCCATCTCCGTGGTTTTACACTAGCTACAGTACTCTGAATTATCTCATTTTGCAGCAGTTTATTCAACTCCTTAGGACAATAATTGTAAACTTCTCAATCATCATTAAATCCTAAACTCGCTAAGAAGGCAAAAGAGCCAAGAAAATAGAACTCCACAGTTTAGAACATTAAATGTACCTACAATCAAGTTACAACCTGAACTTGTAAAACCTATTCTTTTTTTATATCATGGGGATGCAGATAACCATTCCGCTCAAAAAATTTCATCCATGATAAAATTTGTTTTGAATGGAAAAATTAACATGTACTTTTGAAAGTCTCTTCAGAAGGTGTTATCTCATTCTGCAGTCTGAAAAAGTACCGAACGAAGGAGCTGGATTATACTGTATGAGCCTTTCCAAGGATTTTAACGAGAAGGGAATTAGGCTTTTAATATAGACAGTTACCATAACAATAGCTTTTCAGAAAAGGATTCCTTCAACATATTGCAGATACAAAGGCAAGTAGAGGAATATTTTCAGCAAGAAATAAAATGAAGATTAACATCTCTGCTCAACATTTTGTTTGTAATAAGAATCTATTTGTCATGATTCTGTAACGTCTGTCTTCACTTTGGGCAGAGCCATGTTGAAGGGTAAAATCTCTCCTAAACCAGAACTGCCTCTTTGTAGAAAGCATTGTTATATAAATAATTCAGTATTTTTTAAGCTCACATTTTGGAAAAGAAAGCAGGTGGAATCAAAACACTGGGAGCAGCCGCCAAGATATGACTTTCGAAATAGAAAACCACCACATTTTTCAGCATGCTACTTACGGTTACCTAAATCATCTCTGTCATTTACAAAGAAGGGAATGTTACATTCAACTGTTTTGAAAGCAGTGGCAAAAAGTATCTGTCTGTACATTATTTTATTCACCTTCACTGCTAGATTGTGGGATTTATTTTTAATTATGAGTGACATTTATAAACACTGGGAAATACTTTCAACAGCTGCAAAACCGTATGTCTTCCAGCAGCTTCAAAATGTAGTTTTCAAGTTCCCAGGGTGGAACACAAACACACAGCTCTGCTGCTGTCCTTGACCGGAGATCGAATACAACGCTAAACAGATCCTCACTGAATTCAATTACTCTTATAAAGAGGCTACTCTAAAATCACATCAAGATAAACAAGCATTACGGAGTTACAGACATTCCATAAACATGAAAATATTTAAGACACAAGCAAAAAATCTCAGAGAAACACCAACAGATTACAGGAATACTGAACACAAACTTGTAATGCAATAGCTTCTTTGGAGAGACATAATAATCAATTACCTTGTAAGTAATCTGCCAAGTCTCCACCATTGCAGTACTGTTAAAAAGAAAGGTTTTTATTCAAAACACAAGCACTGAAATACTTGCCATATAACTTTTACTCTGTAATCTTCTGACTAAAATTAGAAGATCCTGTCCAGCTGTTTGCCTCAAAATTGTTTTGTCAATTATTTGTAATTAATAATTTGAGGTGTAATGCTTCATCAATATGTAACAGTATCGTAAAAGGAAACTGAATAATTTATGGAACAAACACTGCTGATAAATTTAGGAGTGCACACAAAATTAATAATCTAGTTTTCAGAATTACTTGTTTTAACAAGTCATGGTTATTTTGCAGCTGGGCAAAAAAGGAGTTTTGTCTAAAAATAATCTTTAAAACCATCCAGAAATAAACATGTGTTAATACGTACCTCCATCACTAAAAAGACAGAATTGGGCATTTCCTAAAAGAGAACAAATTCCATTTAAGAATGTGACAAGACAAAGCCTTCAGTACCTGCACTAACCAAGTGCAACACGAGATTTTCAATCAACTGAGACATCTTACATTAGTCACATACATTCCCCACCATTAAATATTTCACATTTTCTAAAGCATTAGTATATGTAAAAAAATCACCAGGCAGTATCCTGAAGGCTGAAGCTATCATCTGAAAGAGCACCATACAGCACGTAACATCAGTTTCCACTGTATGTCACCCCCTTAACTTTCAACTGCCTTGGACTGCTCTAGCAACACAACTTCTATACTAAAAGCCCTTACAAATGAATATACCTTCACTATCACAAATCACTGAAACGAGTCGCTAACGGGACAGTAATAGTCGCAAATATACCAGACAGAATTCAAAACTGAGCAAGACAATTTGCCTATGAAAACCAGTTTTCTAGAGGAGGAATTCCAAATTAACGTTCCCCTTTTCTGGGTAAAACAAGCTTTGGTTCTGCCATCTGAAAAGCCAAAGGTCAGTCAGAAATAACAGAGCAGTTAACTGTCTGGAATAAACTGATTCCCGAACGCTATTTTCTAGGATAATTAATTCAGGAATCATGCATACTTCTGTAAAACATCTCCCTCCAGTCACTGGCAGAAGCATGTCCCTGCCACGGACCTAAATGCCTTATGGCAAAGGTGTGATTTGGTATGGCAGTTCTACTGAGACTTTCCAAAGCACTGACCTCCTTTGACCTATTTGCAATCTGAATTCCCTCTCTTGTAACTGGGCAAGAGTTACTGAAAGACAGATTGGCTAACTTCTACTGTAAATTATCTACACGCTCTACAAAATGCAGTAAAAATATCTGCGCTTAAACCCAGCTGTAACAAGAACATTAATATTTTTTTAGAATATTTATTTTGTGAGAGGGAAGAAAGAGCCTACCTGTCTATGCCAATAATCAACATTGCTTTCTACAAAGTCTCCTGCACAAAATAGTTTTGTTGTGCCCACAAAGTTGGAGACACTTAGTGGTGTTTTATAAAGCAAAAGCATTTTTTTCCTTTCAGTCTTACTCAGTCAGCTCAGAGAGAAAGAACACACAGAGAACTAGAAGGAAACATAAGGCAAGTATACACCAAACAGGATGATGTTTTTAGTTACATAGTATGTTACCTCCCTTTCACTTCAAAAATAACCTTAAACAAAGGTTGACAGTTTGTGGGAAAATATGTTTCAGACACTTTAGGGAAAAGAGCAAGATGGCATACCAGACAAGGCCAGGCATATGCCCCAGCTGGAAGTGGAACTGCAGACAGTCTGACTGTATCCTGTTAACCAGTGTCAAAAAAAGTCAAAAGGGACATTGCATGGCAAAACACAAGCTGTGAACTCAGCCATCTTTCTCAGGGCTTGTAATAAAACTTCAGCCCATGTTCAGTTTGACCACACTGGCAAGAACTACCACAAGAGTGCCATTTTCAAGGGCTCGCTAACACGTCAGGCTAGGAAGTTTTAAAATGAAAAATAAAGTAAAAATAGGTCCATGGGCCCCAGCTAGGGAAACCACCTACCCTAAATACCACGTGGATGGCACAGCCCCTTCAATGCAACTTCTGCCATACCATCACAGATGCAGATACCCACTACAGAGAACTGCAGTCAGTAAAGCTCAAGATCAACTGGATGTTTGAAGGTTAATTCAAGACTCTATTAGGCTGCCTCACTTTCTGGAAGCATTTAGTTTAGCCACCCTCATCTGTGTTACAGAAATGCATTTGAGGTTCTTTCCAGCTCAGAACATCAAGCACATTACAGATCTGTTTACATTTAGAAATTAGCTTCAAAGAAAGCAAGTTTCTAGGAACGTTAGCCAAATCTGTTGGGAATGGGCAAACTCCAACCAACATAGCATATTAAAGCAGCAGTAGATCACATTTCAGGAACTCCCAATTGTTCAATGTTTCTGTAACAGCTGTGGCCAACACGAACCATAATTTGCAATCCTATAAATGCCTCAAAACATAAGTGCATACATTAAAACAAAAAAAATTAGTAATTACTTATTCTGTAAATTACTGAAAATACACAATGATAAATGTTGTTTCTTTCTACATTGTTCCCTTGCAACGTCTTCCAAGACAAACTCACATTCTTCCAGGACCCCCAAGGATGCCGAAGAGCAACTCTGAGATCCCAATTTATCAAACTGAAAATTCTGCCACCTGAGGATCACTTCACTTAAAGGACAACTGTGATGTGTAAAAGAATAACACAGCTCTGAAGCGTGGAAACCGTCCGCTCTCCAGTGACAAGAAAGAAGCTCAGCTAGTGGATTTCCACCCGAACATAGCAATCCCATGAATCAGAAATAGATGTTCCACAGCGTCAGCGCCTCCACTACACAACACGCTCTGTGCAAAACCAGCAGCTTGCGGCAGTATGTAATGCTCAGCTCATGACAGACATTTATTCACCACAGAACTAAGAGAATGTGTTTTCTGGATTCCCTTGGAAGTAAAGCCCTTTCAAATGAAACGCTCGCTTCAGGAACACGGAGCTGATGATGTGTTGTAATAGCCCTCACCTGTTTAAAGAAAGTCATTCCTACAGGGTACACCAGATTTCCCTCAAATAGCATTACTCATCTTTTTTTTGACAGATATTCTTGATTAATAACAGCCAAAAAAGTCACTGGGCTAAAGTCACAGTAAGAAGCAGAGCGTGTTTCCTTATTGTAGCTTGGATAATCCTTTTTTATTAAATCAGCAGAGCAGATTAGAGGTCTCACAAAGAGTTTTTCCACAACTGGTCAAGAGTCATATCTAATCCATATTGTAGAAGTAATATTTTGCACAGCACTGGTACCAAGCTTCCCAGCTGCATCTCGCCCCAACTTTAACACATAACCAAACACTTTTCAGCATCCCACTAATGCAAGCTTTAGCTCAAAACAGCTGAAGCTGTTCATCCCTTCACAGTTGCTCACATTTTGCATTACAGTTCTTGGCCAGCCTGGCTGGGAATGTGATCTCCATTTTGGGAATACATTCAGGAAACACCAGTCAATTCTGTAGATGCATTTTTCCCTTCTAAAATATTTTGCTGAACAATAAAGACACCTCTATGATCATTCTCTAGACTTCTGATTTTTGTTGACTTGCTAAGCAGAACAAAGTGCTCAAAACAGGAAAGATTAGTAAAGCAGCATGTTTCAGATCTAACATTCAGGAATAAAGCTGACCTAGCAAGCTATTTTAAACTGCTTCTTGAAGCAGATAACAAAGCTTTCAAAAATTTACATTGACATACAGATCATAAAATTACTGCAGCTGGAGTTGTTCTGGCCTACACGTCTACCTAGAAGAATAATCAAGCAAAATGAAAGTATGTTGTGTTGCAACAATTATGGAACAGTTTTCCCAGCATGCCTTGCTTTGTTGCTTAAAGTCTTCTCAACAAAAAACTAATTTTGCTCCTCCTCATTCTGAATCTAGGTTTTACTTGCAAGTTGAAGCAAAAGATAGCAAAGGTTAATAGGAAACCATTTTACAACTCTGAAAGTTAACAGATAAACCTACTAGAAAGACATTAAGAGGCAATGTATTTGCCAAAACTTGCTGTGTTTTAATCCCAGACTTCCAGCAGTTGTCTCAGGGGATGTGAAGCTCCAATCCAAATCACAGGCTCAGCACAGTAGTTCCATTGAAAAGACATTAATTTAAAAAAGAAGTCGAAACATCCATGGTTACTTCTGACAGCTGTTGCTAGAACTCTAGTGTACTCACAGAAACATACCCTAGATTTCCTTTTGGTGAGGAAGTCCTTCTTTAGAACAAGCTGGAAGTCTGCAACGAGCTCTTAGGGAGCTGCCAAGGCAGATACTGTGGCAAATAAATAGTTACTACGTTTTTGCTCCAAGTCCCTGGATTCTGTTTAGCTGCAGTTCATGATTAGATTCCCAGAGCACCAGAGTTAACCTGACAGCTTGTGCACTGCTATTATCTGATACATTAATATGTGCAATATTTGCTTAATTTTTTTTGGCCAGGAATACACTATTCTTTTTTCTGAAGCATTAAATACATTTGGCAAAAGTTCTAATGATTTAGTGAAACAGGACTCGTGCAGATCTTTTTAATACTGTTTCTCACTATATTACGGATACTTCTGTTTTGCTTTGCGAGTGCACCACAGCAGCAGCTTCTAACATGTTCAGCTCCTATCATCTAAAGGACTAAACATTTTGTTAGTTCTGACGAAATGTTAAGTTTCAGACTAAATGTCACTTGATTGATTCACATAGTGTGCATGCTGCCAATTATTCACATAAAAGAGCAATCAGCCATGGAGAGATGCACCACGATAGCTATATCACTCATTTTCTGTTACGTGAAATGCTCTATTTAACATATATATATGTGGCAGGTAGCGAAAGAGACTGGCCTGCTGCACAACACCAAGAACAGATAAAACTGTTTGCAGCACACCAAACATTTAACACGATCTTCTGGGCCAGTTTTGAAATACAAATTATAGCATCTAGGCACAGCAGATAAGCTGACTGCGTAGTAACTCCTACTCTTTGGTTCTGTGTGCCAAAACAAATTTTAACTGGTTGCCCCTAACCTTCAACACCTATACTGGTGTCATTCCTTGCAGTCCAATATTGTTGTAACCAACCCTCCAGTTCGTATCAGCTGCCAGGTAGTATTTCAAAACCTTTACCAATTCTACAGGGCAGGATTTTTCTTTCTACCTGAACACTTGTCTGAACAGCATGTTTTTGTGTGACTCCACACACAGAGCGGATGGATATCAACAAACACAAAGGCCTTAATCAAGGAGCTGAGGGGAAAAATAAAGATATTGAGATATCCTCATTCGAAAGTCGACAGTTCAGAAACAGCTACGATGAGAGTATGGAGACAACCAAAGCTGTGAGACACCAAGATCAAGAGTGCACACCAGAACTGTGTGAAGCAAATGCCTCAAAAAACATATGCAATACTACCAGACCAACTGGAGTCCCTGGCTAAACCAACCAGCAATATTTAATTTCCACGGGTAAAACAATAAGTATAGATAAATATGGTTCCTTCTATAAGTGTCCTTAGTAAGAACTCATGGGCACTTGTGCTGAGGTGTAGGTACCAGAAGGACCACTGGCTTTGTTCCCACTAGCTTTCACTGCTTTCAAGGACAGCAGAAGCAGCTGCAGTTATTTTATCTGCTATGTACCAAGAAGCTAAGACAAGAAACAATTTCTGTTCAGACACTGTTTCTCCAATAACACAGTAGAAATTATTTCTCCCTAAACTACTGTTCAAATAGCAAATTTCAGACTCCATACAGTGAAGACATTAATTCATTCTTCTAAAATTCTATCTCCAAGATACATTACAGCCTTTCATTCTGACGGCTGACATTCTAAAGAGGTTTTGAATTAAATTATTTGCTAAAACAGGCACTGTCTGGCACTGTGTGAGAGATTAGTTCTGCTCAGCACACACTTGGGATCATGAACTGCACAAAACTGTAAATTCATGTCCTAAATATAGCACATTCCAAATAACTTACTGATACCTTCATACTTCAGTATAATACTTTATCCAAGGACCTCAATGTACTTTATGCTGGTGAGTTAGAGGTTATTTTAGATTCCTCTTGCTTTTGAGAAACAGTGGGCTTCATTTTCCCAATTAACATGATCCAAGACTGTCTGATCTTCTTCTGCAGGATGAATGACATCCCATAGCATCACCATGGGAAAAGAGCTCTATTCTTACACCATTTTAGAGATTCAAGAGCTTTTTTATTCTGAAAGAAAGAATACCAAACTCTTGCCAAAGACGATAAGTAAAAAACACCTCAGCAGGTTACATCTTGCCATTATATTCTCAGGTTTTTTAAAGCATTTCACTCCACAAAAAATTAATTTCACATTTAGATGTGAGCTGCATATGCTTATTTTTCAGAGCCCTGCTACTGCAAAACATTCGCCTCTCACACATAGAGAGTTCATATTTAGGTATCTCCACAAATGCCTTCAGTCTCAGAACCACTGGTCTCCACACCCTGGTGTGTGCAGATCCCTGGCCTTCTGAGATGGCACAAATGACAACGACATGCTCTGCTTACATAAAATGCATATTAACTGCAGGTCAAATCTGCCAGTGTTGCATGTTACCACCTTACAGAAATCAAGGGCAATTATCGTGCTGGCACCAGAACAAAAGCTTTTTATGCCGACCAAGGCACACACAACATTAACGGCACATCAATTCATTCGGGTGTGTCTCCAGATGAATGGGCATTTCTAGTCATTTAACTCAGTGGACCCTATACATACCAAGTAACGTATCAAAGCAGTCTTCATAGGAGCCGAAGCAACTGCACTGTAGAAGGTTCATATGCCATCAGCAGAATGGCTCATAAGTTCTCCTGGGATCTAATTAAAGCCTTAATGGTATATGTACCTTTATTACAATTACTTGTGTGACTGGTCACACACAGATCATGCAACAGGAACACAACCATGAACAAACAGAGATGAAAGAGAAGGAATCTAACTGCCTCCTGTGAAAACAATTCCAAATAAAGCCTTCTGCAATATCTAAGATATAACTACCCTTTCGTTCTCAAACTTCAAAGATACATTCCAAATTGCTATGCAGGGATACAGCTTTAATCCCAAAGTACTGCTATTAAGTGCAAATAATTTCATGTAATATTATGAGATGTAAAAATATTTATTCTTCATGGCAATTAATTTACACTTTTTTCACTTAGTTTTGCCACTTTATTGCACACCATCTTTTCCATCTGAAAACTCGGTACCACGATCAGTTCTTGGATTATTCAGCTAAATGATCTGCCAAACAGTGCATCTGAAACACAAGCATTTTCTTATTCCAAACTGTCTAAGGCTAAGAAAAACTTCAGACCAACAGAACTGTAAAAATAAAACTGACTCCTGTCACACTGAGAACTTCCTACTGTGACACAGACTCCACTGGCTCCAGCACTGAAAAAAAAAAAAAAAAGCTTCTGTAACTTAAAAATTGCTTGAAATCCTAAAGTCTTATCTGCTGTACTGTATCACTATGCTCACAATACCACAGCAAACAAAAAGGGCAGTACACGCTAGAACATGAAATGCTAAAGAAAATTAGTAGGTGTAACAGCCTACTAGACATGTGAATGCCTTGCATAGTGTTCGTTCTTGCTGGGTTATAAATTAATGTAATCATACAAGTTAATGATGTATAATATTTCACAAACATAGCCCTGTGCAGAAAGGGGAAAGCTTATTTGTGCAAGTGTCACATTCTTTAGAGCGTATTTTGCAAAGCGATTTCTTCTGTCGAAGTAGCATCATAGTGCCAAGCTTTGTGTTTGCCATGAATGTATTTGAAATACATCCAAGGTATGAGACACAGGTTTTCCCTTCTCTTTGCTTTAACTGTTGATATTATTTAAATGCAGTAAGTCAGTGACAAGCAGGAACACTCCCTTCTGAAATGGAGATCACAGGACTGATCAGTCAAGAAGTCCTGTCACTCTAAGGGCACCCTTTCCTGTGGCAGAACAGAAAAGCATAAAAGTTCTGTTTTCACATAACCTTTGGGTAAAGAAACCATAGGCAAATGTATGGCTCTGTCCTCTCTTCCCTTGTGGATGTTCTGTGCGTAAATCAAAAGAAGCAAGAGCCTCTCCAAGGCTTAGAATATACACAACATCAAAACATCAAAATACATATCTAGTCAACTACCCTCAGGTTGAGCTGCAAAGCTTACTAAGTAATCTTCACATACAAACAACTGTAAATGATAAATCCGAAATTCAGCTGCTTACCCACCAACGCCCTCAGTCAACAATTCCAGTTTCTTTTAAGATGTCTGGATATACTAAATTTAGGATGCTGAGAGATGACTCCCACTTAGCAATACTCAGGAAAGCCTGTTCTCTTCAAGAAACACAAGAGACTATACCTTCCCTCTCCGAGCACCTAATATTATTCAAAATGCAGAGTGTTCTCTTCAAGAAACACAAGAGACTATACGTTCCCTCTCCGAGCAGCTAATATTATTCAAAATGCAGAGCGCTGAAGTCAAGACCCAGGAGGGAAAAGAGTCTATACATCCAAAAGGGAAGTTGCAACGCATGAACATCATCGCTCTGTACCAAAAGTCAACAGAAGTTAGTATATGTCCTGTAGTGCTAACACACAATAAAACCCGAGCCTGCCTAGCATCGCTCTGTACCAAAAGTCAACAGAAGTTAGCATATGTCCTGTAGTGCTAACACACAACAAAACCCGAGCCTGCCTAGCACGTATCATGTGAACACAGATTTCTATAGCTACACAGATATATATCTACACGTAAGCTGCAATCCTGTTAGGATGCAAATGTGTAAAGACAGAAAACACTGATGAATGTCGAAATGTCTATTTTGCGTTGCTTTAACTATGCAATGCCTCAAGGATGGTTCTTAACAATTTTTTCATAAATGTAACTCTGTATTAAAGATTAGAATTGAGCCCAGGAAAGAAATGTATAGTTCTTATTCAAGTAGAACAAATGGCTGTAGAACCTACATCACGTCATATGTAGCTTTACTCAACACTTGTAGGCCTTAGGATACAAAAAACGTACTTTCTATTATATAGAATACACTACTCTAGACAGGCTAGAAAACCAACTCCTTCACCTTATCAGGCAGAATCCTAGGAATAAAAAAAGGAAGACAATTTGAAGCAATTCAATACTTCTTTCTCCTACTTGAAAAGATCCAAATGTCTGCTTGGCTTTTATACTTTATCCTATCCATTGAACACAGGCAACAGCAATATACACATATGCGATCATGGTCTCCTATTTCCTTCAGCTCTTCCTCACTGCAACACAGGGCTACACAATACATTTCTTTGTTACAGACATCTCAAAGATGCTGCTCCTTTTCTACAACAGAGTATTTTAAGTTATGTTGACTTCATGTCACTTGCTTCATCCATCCAGATCAACTCCTACTAGTACATTTTTCTTCAGGTGTATTCAGTCGTTACCCACAAACACCCACTTCCCAATTAAATTACAGGGCCAAGGAAACAATGCTAATTCAGGAGAATAGCTACTGCCACCAGTAGAGCTCCCAGCCCAGCCAGCTGATGCTTTTTCTCTGGAGATAGGACCAGACTACACAAGCAGCCTCTGCAGAGGTTCTCGGGCTGCCTCTTGCCCCTGCTGCCTGGAAGTAAACTGTATTGCTCACGGCTTTCTGTCTCAACTGTGCATCCTGCTTATTAAAAAGAGCCGATACAAAAGAAGCGCTTAGCATGTTGAAGATCAGATAACTCCCCTGCCAGTGCTAGGGAACTGGATTTCTTTTTCTAAGTACTAAATTCATCATAGCAACAAAATACATGGCCATTCAAAATTTTCTACTTGAGATATATATATATGCATTATATTTTCATAAATAAAATTTAATGAAGAAAAAGGCATCAGGATATATATTACCTGGACATCATAGAGAGCTACAATGTTCTCATGTTGAAGTTCCTGTAAAACAAAATATTTGTATTATGCAAATAATCTGTTGTTATTATTATTATTTTAATTATTATTTTAAATGCCAGGTGATAATTGAAGAGAACCACATTTTACAAAGAAAAGTAGCATCTTTTTTAGACCATCTGTTGGAACTTGGAGGAAATCCCAGCTATTTAGACAATATTTACAGGAATAGGAAATTAGGCAATACCTTCAGAGGTCACAAAAACATTTGGTTCCAGAACTTATTGTCTATGCCATGTTACAGAAAGTACTACAGCACAAGCTACTTTAATGAGTACCAAAAACTGACCAAACTTTAATTTTACAGTCTCTCACAATTTCTCACTTAGCAGAGCAACCAACTACACTATTTTCAAGTCAACCTTACCATTTTACAGTAAAAACAGAAATCAAACCAAATAACACCAAATAAATCTCACAGGAGACCTCATGCAATTATTCATAACTGCTCAAGAAAACATGTCTTTGCTAAGTACTTGCAGCACACTAATACACCCAACACTACAATGTCTGGTATAGAATAAATATACTGGAATATAATACATATATATTAGCATATAAAATAGTGACGTATCTCAGGAAGCTTAGAAACATGGAAAGAAAGCAGCACTAATTACTATTGCAAAGCTATGTAAAATGAGATAAGCTGAAGTTCGGAGAACGGAAAATGCTAAGAGACCATCCGAGACACTTTCATAAAATCGCATTGAAAAACTAAACGATGCTCCGTTTTATTTCCTTCATTAGAGCCACACTACACATTTTAAGTCAATTAACACAACTCAGAAGTGGGAAGACCGCTTCAGGAATCAAATTCAGCATGCCGATTTTAGCATTCAAGGCATCTCTGAGCAAAGAAGATGAAGAAAGATCAAAGACTGATGGGTTACCCTCAGCTGTGACTTTTGCTGTATGCACTGCTTAGGAAAGGTGCCACGTTAGCCATCCTGCAGCACAAAGTTCTGTATCTGCAGTAAGCAAAGCACAGAGACTGGTTCTGCAACAACTTTCCACTTTTAACTACAACTGCATGCCCATAACCTGTTCCGAGACCACTTCCAAAACTAAAAAAGTATCTTTTTCTTTTTTCCTGGTCTTTTTAGTTCTGGATTTCTCCCGGAACTAACAAAGAAACAAAAGGCAGAATAGCAATTACTGTGATACTACCCATGACCCGGAATGAACTAGGTCAAAAGTCTCTTTTCCTTTTCAAGTAAAGCAGCTTTAAAAACCACTGCAAATTAACATACCTTTAAGATTTTTATTTCTTTTCCAAGTAGGATTTGTGACTTTGACAAGTTCTTTTTGTTAATGCTCTTTATGGCTACTTCCCAATCAGTTTTCTGGAAACAAATAAACAAAAAAGTATTGTCAGTTTTATATATTTTTTTTAAACTTTATCCACTAACAACTAGCTAGTAAAGCACTGGAGAAAAAGTTGCGAGATCACCCCTGCTCTACCCACCAGCGATTACTACATCACATGACACCATGGAGAACTATTTCATTCCACAATAGCTCAGACAGCTATTAAAATCCAGCTGCAGCTACACTGCATTTTCATGGATTCAAAAGCATTTAAAAAAAAAAAAAAAGAAGTAATCACATCCCATTTATGTCTTGGTAGTGGTGCTATGTATCTGCTTTTTAGGCGTCTCAATGATTAAGTTACTTTTAGTCTCCTTTATGCACTTCCCATTTTCAGCCTTAGTATGCTCTACAGCTGAAAATAGCACCAGAAAACATCTGGGGTTTTAAGTAAACATATATTCTCTATTTATATATTATCTAAAAATACACTGCCTATTTATTTGTAAGGTGGGAGCACCCCCATTGGCCTTCAAATTTTTTATTTTCCTTTCTCCTTTTTTTTTT